AGAAAAGGAATTAACTCTGTGGTCGAGGATCTACCTATGGAGTGATTTTTTGAGGAATGGCAGTGAAGCTTTCCATTGGTGCACACACTGGAGAAAACAAAGCAAAGATTAATGGTTTAATATAAATGCTGCTACTGTATGTTAGTTGCTTTAAAAACAGGAGTAACTTTATTAGTCAGGTTTCTTTTTACTCACCAGTGTTTAGAATTATAGTTGACAGAGGCTCCTGCATCTAAATAGTCTCCATCATGGTAACAGGAACATTCCTCTTTGGGTACACAAACGTCTTTTTCATTTAGATAGAGGCCATCAGGGCAGAAACAGCCGACCACAGGCAGGAAGTGTGCAGTACAGCTGTTCTGGTCCTCATTCAGTGAACTACAAGTCAGCTGACATCTTCGATGATTGTAAGTAAAGATCTGGGTTGACGGACAGCTCTCTGTGTGTTTCTCTGTTTTGGGGGTAGTATGGCCATAGTTAGCAGACTGTATGATTGTATGATTTACAAATTACAGTTAGAGGTTTAGTTTGGGTTATTTTAGAGTCAGGTTCTGTGAAGCTACAGGTAACAGATATCTTTACTTTTCTGCAGCAAAAAAGTGTCATATCACTGTGATATTTTATGAGAGCTTATTGAAAAAATTAAGTAATCAGTAGTTAATTATCAGTAGTTGAAAATTACCAATGGCATCTGATAGTGAGTCTGAGTCTGGTGAATCGATGCAGGAGGCTCCAAAAAAAAACAAACTTTTCTACACATAAAAGTGCAGCTAAACTAACATTATCATTTAATGAAACTGACTGATTTAGTAGAAAATATTTGTTATAAAAAATGTAATATTAGAGTAAATATATGTATATATGCATTAGGTATAGGCTATGTAATGTGTTCTTTAAATAAGAAGCCATTAGAACTCTCCTCAGCCAACATATTATGGTTTGACCAGGACAACCCCGCGCTGCAACTTTTACATTTATTTTGCTGCAAACTAAAAATGTCAGGTTTTCAGAAGAAAAAAAGAGAAAAAGGGAAGATGAAACCAAGGGCTTGATGGATTTTAGGAGTAAATGTTAAAAATAAACTGAGGATGAGTCAGGAACAGTTCCAGGAATGGAACTGCAGAAGAATGATTCCCATTCAGGGCCAGCTAAGAAGCAATGAGTTTACCAAAGAATTTTAAATTATAGCATTCGATGGCTAGTGTAAGGGAGAAACACATTTTCTTTTACATAAATACTTGAGCTTAGTGCCAAAAAAGCAGAAAAATGGCAGAGGACCAGGTGCAGGGAGAAAGACGGAGCGGATCAGCAGTTTGCAGCGCGTGTTTGAGGAGGGTGACAGAGAGAACCATCCCTATAGATAACAGAGACAGTGCAGGTGGAGGGGCCTACTGCCCGATCGAGAGAGTCTGAGCATAGCGGCTCAGAGACGGATCACAACGTTAATTTCAATAATCCTTCGCTGTGGCCAACAGAAGTGACTGATTCTGATCGAGTGAATGTTTGTAGTTAGCCTTGTGAGGCCATCCTGATCTCGCGAACTTTCAAGATTTCACTCGCTAATCAGTCTGGAGACTCTCCGTTAAGGAACATTTGGAGCCGTTCACCAAACGAACGTCCAATCAGCGTTGGCTTTGAGGCGGGTTGAGGTGTGACGCAACGAGAAGCGCGACAGTTCAGTCTAAAGAACATGGCGGCTTCAGCCGATGAAACTAGCGTTAGCGTAGCTATCAAGCAAGATTTATCGGAATTACAGAGTATTTCTTCACTGAAAGAAGAGCAAAACACTGCTCTGGAGGCTTTTCTCAGAGGAAAAGATGTTTTTGCTCCTCTCCCGACTGGTTTCGGCAAGACTAGAGTGGCTTGTGGTTGTGTTTTCGTCGTCGCTCTGCTACTACGTCATATGCTCCATTGATCTGATTGGTTTATTTGGCCCGTCTATCACCAACATAGGCCAATCAGCTAACCAGTATTTTCACCCCTTCCCAAAATTACTTCAACGGAAGGTTTCCAGATAAACTACCAGCAGATTCAGGGGGCAGAGAATTCACAAAGTATCTAACCTGGGGGGTGTGGTAGGTTTAGAGGGGAGGCCCAAAAAGACTGTGCTGTCCCGGGCCTTGCAACAACCCCCTGATAATAATGTCTAACCCTAACTGTCTTAAAGAGATAATTTCAGCTAAAAGAGATGGTTTATGTCTGACTTCCTTTCAGCATTTTTGTAATTTGATTTTGTCTTACTCAAAGAATTTCACTGTAATATGACCTCCAAGGAATCATCCATTAAAAAAATAATCTGGTGTAACCCTTTAACTTAAAACTTTGTTATTAAACTAATCAAACTTAAAAAGTCAACATTTGTTAGGGCCTCATGAAAACCAGAAAGTTCTTCTTACCACATTCATTTTCAAAATCTGTTACAAACTTTCCACGTGCTGCACAGGCTCGACCGTAAGAGGTAAAGACTGCGCATAAGCAGTCCTCACTTTTCTCACAGCTGCAGGTGGAATAAAGGCAGCGCTGTAAACATAAATTATAATTATAAGTTCTTCCAAGATATTAGACTCAAACTATTTAACTTAGAAATCTGAGAGCAAATGTTTTGTTGTACCTTGTAGTAGGTCTCAGGATCCACATCTGAATGGCATATTGCAAATGAGCCGTTTGGATTTCGTAGCATTTCACACCAGTCTTTAGCATATTTCTCTACAATCATAAACAGAAAACAATGTTTTTGTTTTTTTACTTTTAATAAATTTACCTAAAGCAAACACTTTGATAGAAGTCTAACACAATTCATCCAGAACTAAAGGAGACTATATGACCTAAAAAGAAAAAGTTATTTACCAATACTCATACTGTTGGAACATGGATCACTGTGTCTTTCTTCGCCTCCAGAGCATGACATGTTTGCCTTCCAGGAGTTACTGAACGTCAATGCCGTGCCCTCCACGATGCCCTGAGGAGTCTTCATGTCATCGTTGGAGACCATGTTGAAGCTTCCACATAAACCTGAGGAACATGTTTAGAACAACAGCTTAAACACAGAGCTATGCAAAACAAACTAGCTGTTAACTTTTTTTTATCCAAGACATATATAGTTTTTCCATCATTACATTTTAGTCTCTTGACATGAGTTCAGGTTAAGCCATTTCTGTAATTTAACAAAAAAGAAGGTGACAGAAATACAATCAATTTTAAGAACATTTCTAGAAGCTTAAGCTCCTGCTGTTCTTTTTTCTCTTCAACTTTCTCGTCAGGTTCAGTTCGGGGCTGGAGCTGGGCTCCTGTAGTCCCTCACAAGTTTGACGTATTTAGGCTCAAATTTCAGAGCTTAAAAAGAGGCTGGCTGCTCAGCTTGGGTTCAAATGATGCAGTTGTTTGTCCTTTTTTTTATCACTGTCTCTGCTGTCCTTGGCTGCTGTCTTGCCATTTTGGACGATAGACTTGTATTGTTCAATCTGCTAATAATTTTTGTGCTAGTGCTATGGCATGACGTTTCGCCCAGCTCCACAACACTGCAAAAACTATCTAGAAATATGTAAAAAATTCTTAAGTGAAGTGTATTTACCCTTAGTTTGAGCAGATAAATAACATGATCTGCCTATGGAATAGTATTTTACTCTTAATTCAATTCAATTAAGTTTATTTTTATAGCTCCAATTCCCATCATGCCATCTCAAGGCACTTTCGAGTTCAACCAGATCATACAGTCAAATTGATTTAAAGTTTTCTATCTATGGAAAACCAGTTGATTGCATCGACTCATTCACTCTTCAGCAATCCCTCACACTAAGCTCGCTTGTAGCGACAGTGGGGAGGAAAAACTCCCTTTGAACAGGAAGAAACCTCCAGCAGAACCAGGCTCAGTGTGAGCGGCCATCTGCTGAGGCCCACTGGGCCCCAGATGTCTGATATCAATGGTTAAGATATGCCGATACCAATGCCATGTGAATAATAGTATCAGTCTTTAGTTTTCATTAATGGTTTCAGGTTTTTTTTTCAGCAAAGGAATTAAATTTCTGTATAGTTTAGAGCAAAAGTTGGCTTGTATTAAAAAAGAAAACTAAAACTCACCACGTGTCTTTCCTTTGTAACCGCTCTCCAGACTGATATAGACTTGCATGACAGGGAGACGCTGGATCTGAATTTGCAGACCAAACTTGGCGTAGAGCAAGATATGAAAGGATGAAGCATGAAATATTCGGATGTCCCCTGTAAAGAAAAGAATAGAAATCCTCTGATGTTAAGCTGAAATACTGAGAGGAAAATCCTGAATGAAAAATATATTCCTGTCAGACGCACCTGAGTAGTACGGCAAACTGACTTCATCCCTATTTTGTTTAACTTTACCATCAGATGTAAAAACTATTACCTGGAGAAACACAGAATAATTCATAATGAGCCACGAATATTTGAGTAAATTTGTTAGATTAAAATAAAAATGTTATTCCAGATGTATTTTACTTACATGATCTCTGTCCAGATGGATTTTAAGAGTCTTCAGACAAGTGTCATACTTATCTTGGTCACACGGTCCCAGCTGTGCCCGGATTGTAAAGTTTGGACTTACTCCATCCTAAATTCAATTTAAAGTTTCGGCACAGGGAAATCATAGATTTTATTTGCATCTCTACATGATTATGTTTTCTCACCAGTGAATTTTGACTTTTTTTTTTTTTTTTTACCTTGCTTTCCACCTTAGCCAGGGTATAAAAACAGTTTCCATGAAATGTATAGGTTCTACCAGCGAAGGTTGTAAAATATGAACCTTCTTCAACTGAACAGGTAGCAGGTGTTTCCGAACTCTCACACTCCCACCTCCCCTCTAAACAGGTACTGAAAAATACAAATTGAATAACAACGCTTTCTAAGTAGTTCATTCATGCAGAATCTATTCATATTATGCAAGTTATAAGTACAAACACTGATCAAATTTATTGGGATTAATTAGGATAGATCAAGCCTGTAAATATTTTCAAATTTAACATCTCTTTTCATAATTTGCTTCTTTCTTTGTTCTTTGTTTCTTGAGCGGCCAATAACAGCATGTCAACTGATGTGCTATCTTTTCCTAAACAGTAAAACACGCTGAAGGTTCTCTCTGAATCTGTGTGACGCCCCTAAAGGGACGCTGAGTGTGCGGAGTGGAAGAGGTTAACCGGGGCCAGACAGATGGGGAGCTTTCTACAACACATTTGTTTAAGAAACAAGAAACAAACACCAAACCACAGAGCAGACAAGGTCTCAAAAGTATGTAAGCATGTGCATTAAAAAAAATGCTAAACCAGCTTTAAGCTAAATTGCATTAAAAAGTATTTAGGTGTTGACTATCACAGCCTTTGTTGCAATAATCATTTCAGTGTTTACATTACCAATCCTGCTACGTGACCTCGTAATTTTAACAAACCCCAAGTATTGATGTAAAAAACACATTTGGCACAGTTTGGTGACATTTTTGGATAAATGTGCCAAAATGGCCCCTCCGCCTAAGAAATTTCTCACTAATACCATTCTAAAATAAATATGATTCATCTGATTGAGTCCAAATTTGGTATATTTTTACACAACATTTAGATTTAAAAGTCTGTACTACTTTTTTGTGCTATAAATAATATTTTGGTAGTGTTTTGCAATGTTTATTTCAAAGAAAATTTTGGCGAGGTTCAAAAAATGCAAAATATTTTGTATTTTGTCCCTAATATTTCAGGCAGGGTCAAAGCTACAATGGTGCTGACACCAGAAAACCATTCTATGACATCTTACCTTTACAGACGTACCAAAAGTTTCTTCTTAAATCTAATAGCTGTGAGGCTATAAGTTATTTACTTTTGTGTGTTTTTGTCAGGCAGAAATTTATTTACACCCCCTGAGGGTGTAAGAGGTTGTGGATTTAAAGACATTTCAATTAGTGCAAAAATTTACAGGGAGGAATATAAAAAAAAGTCTAATCCACCAAAACTTTCACTACCCCCATGCAGTACCTCCATGGACCCCCTATGGGTTACGGACCCCCTGTTGAAGACCTTTGCCTTAAATTGTTAAAGTATCAACAAGTGACGTGCAAGAATCATTTGAATGTTTCTTCTGTCTTTTTTTTTTATAAGTTAGTATAATCACTAGAATTATTCAAGCCAGATTTTTTTGGTGCTCCCCAAAAGCTTTGGTGCCCTACATGCAGTGCGTGATGTGAGTGAGCATAGCACCAGCAGGGGTCAGATAAACCATTGTGCAATTGGTGAACCACATAAATGGAAAGGAGAGGTCAGACTGAGTATGACGCAATTTTTACGTTAACCTCTGTGTGATTACTCTCTTCATTCAAATGCCGTTCCGTCCCCCGCTCTCTAATTATCATTTATCTTAATTACCTGCTACCTCTGCTCTATATACAGTTCAGCCCAGCTATCGGGGCCAGATCATTATTTGTTTGTATTCGTGTTAATTATTTGTGTATTCTTAGTTTATTCGTGTCATGTTTTCATGTCAGTTATTCATGTTTGTTTCATTAGTTTTTCTTAAGTTCCTGGTTCATGTCCTGACTCTTGGAGACCAGTGGAATTAGAGGGTTTATTGTTTTGTCTCCTGATTGTGTCCCGTCTTATCTCCGCTAAGGCCTCAGGGTTTTGGTTCGGAACGCCGGAAAGGTCAATTCCCGTAAGCCTGGCTCCAAGGTGAAGACCAGTTTAAAGTTCCACATTTATCCTGGTACCAAGTCTTGTCTCTGTTCCTCTCTACCACTGCCTGTCTCCATCGGAGCATGTCTGTCTGAGCTCGCTGCTTGACTCAGACTCTGAACCTTTCTTCATGCTCTAAGGATTCCTGGAACCCTGGATCTGTCTGTTCCTGCTTGGATTGGAACCGCTGGTAAGGCTATGTACTCCCGGATCTCGGAACTGTCCAGTTCTGAACCATTTCTGACCTGGATCTGTCTACTGAGAGGATGGACTGAACTGTTAAACCAGAGTGTGCGGTGCTCCTGCAGCCACTGCGGTCCGCTTATCCTCAGCAGCCCGCAACCGTTCTGTTCTATTATTTTCTGTCATGAAACGTTTTAAAACTCCCCATCACCTCACTCGCCGTGAATACTGGGTCCATCTGTCCAGTTTATGACACTGTGGACATATTCAGGTCTATTAGGAAGTCTGCTTTTAATTCAGTATGCCTCACGTGATTAATTGAAGGTGATAATTCAGCACCAGTGGTATAAAACACATTACCATGAAGCAGGCTAGCAACAAAATCAAAAATTGTGGATGATTAGAGCTGGTATACAGTGGAAACAGATTACTGAAAAACCCTCACTTAAAAAAACTATAGAAAAAAAAACAATGGGCTGCCAAAAAAATAAAAGTAACAAATCTTAAATTTTAAATCATGTTTGCTTCTCAATTTCAAAAAAA